TAGTTGTAGCTAGGAGTCATAATAAAAAGTGTCAACCGTGGTCACGGTGGTCGGAGCCGAAGTAAAACGTGTGACATTGGGTTACAACGGCCGTGGCCGAAGTGAAGTGTGACTGAGTTACTGTGGCCGTAGCCGAAGAAAAACATGTGACACGGAGTCACTGGGGCCGTAGCCGAAGTAAAATAAGTGACACTGGGTCACAACGGCCGTGGCCGAAGTAAAATGAGTGACACTGGGTCATTGTGGCCGGAGCCGAAGTAAAATAAGTGACACTGGGTTACAACGGCCGTGGCCGAAGTAAAATGAGTGACACTGGGTCATTGTGGCCGGAGCCGAAGTGAAGTGTGACAGTCACTGAGGCCGAAGCCGAAGTGAGGTATGCGACAAAGTCACCGTGGCCGGAGCCGAAGTGAAACGTGACTAGGTCACTATGGCCGTAGCCGAAGTGAAGTGTGACAGTCACTGAGGCCGGAGCCGAAGTGAAACACTTGCCAAAATTTTAAAATGTTGAAAAACGGGAAGGAGTGGTTGAATGGGCTTAAGTGGGCCCGTTTACGAAGTCTGACACGACACATGAAGTGACAGCTGTCCTCTGAATGACGTGCGTAATTAATGCGGCTGTGAAAAGATAACTGTAAGAGTCCAACGGGCTGGTTTAAAAGGCGAACCGTCAAGTTTTAAACGATGTCGTTTAATGGTTGAACCGTCGAATTCGAAACGGTGTCCTTGCTGCCGTCAGATTGGGTTAATCCCAGCCGTTGGGGCGTATTTTGCCTTTGGTATAAAAGGCTACACTTCTGCAGAGGGGACTTTTTTACCTTCGCTTCAAATTTTTTGTTGAATTGCTACTAAACTTCTGCGGTTTCGTGCGGTTTGCGTTTTAATCCAGACTTCAACAGCAGCTTTCAAGACCAAAAATTAGGTAAAGTTTATGAATTTGTTGTTTTGGCTTTGTTGAAATGTTGTTCTCCTTTCTCCCTTTCTGTGGTTGATTTTGGGTTTTTTGGAGGGAAATTAGGGTTGAGAGTGAAAATGTATTGAGTGTATTCAAATTGTGAAGGATCCTGACTTCGTTCCTCCCCCCCTGTATGCAGAAATTGAGATGTCTTCAGACGAAGCTATGAGTGTAGTAGGGAGTGAGGTAATGCCCTTGGAGTATGGTGGTATGGATTCGGAGACCAGTCCGTCTCCGACTAGTTCGGAGAGGACGGTAGGGGATAGAATGGAGCAAGGGGTAATAGAAGAGGAGGAGGATGAAATCCCCTCAAATATTTTGGAGGCCGGAAATGGCGTAGATGGGTGTTATGACCCAGATTTAGAGGTAGTGGCCGAGGTGAGGGGATTTGTGAGTGAGTTGGGTAGCAGGGATAGTCTAAGGGGTCTCGTGGGTAACTGCAACCTTCCTCACCATGTCCTACTTAGGCCTGCCGGGGTGAATGAGAGGGCATGCTCAGCACCCCGTGATCATTGGATGCCCGTATACCTGCATTACTTGATTGCAGGGCTTAGGTTTCCCATTCCAGAATTACTGGTGGGGTTGTTATTAGATTACAATATAGGAATGACCCAGCTAACTCCCAATGCTATGAGGGTAGTAATAGGCTTTCTTGTATACTGCAGAGTTCGGGGGGTTGGGTTTCCAACTGTAAATATGTTCAAACATTTTTTTATAATTAAGGCTGGGGGTAGGGGAGAGAAGGGATGGTACCACTTCGGTCCTCGGTCGTCCAACAAAGAGAATAAGAATTTATTCTCTCCTGGGCCGTCATCCATCAAAGGGTGGAAAGAAAATTTCTTCTTTGTGGATGACACCGAGTGGAGTAGGAGGGATTCCGAAGTGGAACAGTTGTCTGCTTGGAAAGCGAAGAAAACCAAGCAGAACAACTATAAGTTGAATGAGGATGAGGTGGAGGAGGTGAAGAAGCTGGTGAGGGAAGACGGAGACGTGTTGGACATCTTATACCTCACCAGTTCGCAAGCGATAGAGGCTGCTGAGCTCTATGGGCCAAGCTCTTTGAGCGAAGGTCTGTGTATGTTTATCTTATGCTGTGTTAGTTAGGTTTTAGGTTATATGTTTTAACTTTTGTGCTTGTGTTGCAGCTGAGATGGAGGAGTTTACCAATGCTGCTGGCGGGCTGCGCATCCCCAAGAAGCCAAGGAAGAAGGCGACGACTTCAGCTGTGGCAAACAGAGGGGTTCCCGGGAGAGAGCTCCTGCCCAGCACTTCAGCCCAGGCCATGGAGGTGCAGCCAAGGCCGGAGCCTTTGATGGGGGTCAGCGAGGATGTAAGTGAGGAGACGGCACCGCTCCAGAGGAAGAAGAGGAGGGTGGCAGAGCTAGAAGGTAGGGGGGATGAGGTGGTGGAGTTCGTGCCTCAACCTGCCCCTCCAGAAATCGATCCTGAGGTCCAGGAGAGGGGAGAGACCGAGGTGCAAGGCCTTAGTGGGGACAGGGAACGCACCCCACCCTCCACGTACCAGAAAAGTTTGTTCGAGACGACAAACATGACTGGGGCTAAGCATTTTCTCAATGCGACGCTTCCTGACGTGGATAGGGTTCAGGCGAAGAACGAGGTGGCTAGCCACGCGGGGTATACCGTGGTGAGGCACGCCCTAGAGGTATGTGGAATAATTGTATTTTACTCCGGTTGGATGTTTTGAGCTTTTTGTCCTGGGTTTGATGTCTGACTGGTGATTGCCTTGTAGAGTGCGAGCTGGACAAACGCTCTAGCGCAGGAGTACACAGAGAGCGTTAGAGATCGTGCCAGCTTGCAGAGGCAGTGCGATGCCTTGCGAAAGGAGAAGGAGGAGCTCCAGAAGGAAAAGGGGGAGTTGCAGAAGAAGAACCAGCAGATTCAGAGGAGGCTGGACGAGATGACACCAACAGTGACAGAGCTCCAAAGTAGTAACAATGTCTTGAGCACGAAACTCTCTCTCGAGGAGCGAAAAAGGAAAATTTGCGAAGAGAAGCTCGAGGCTCAAGACAAATACATCGAGAGCCTGAAGAAGGGGGCATTGGAGCTGAAGAAGGACGTGGAGCTGTTGGTGCACAACGGAATGGAAGGTCATATTGGCAACTTCCTCAACTCCAGCTCCTTCGAGGACATTCTCAAGCTGTACCGGCTGCCAACCGCAATCGTGGCCTTCACTGATTGTAGAAAGAAAGTGAAGGCCCAGTACCCAGAGGTGGACGTGACAACAGTCACCTTTGGGGAACAAGAAGAAGGGGTGGAGGATGATGGAGAGAGCCTCTGTGCTAATTTCCGACCTCAGATTACGCTGAGGTGGGAGCGTGATGCAGAGGGGCGCACCATCTTTCCTCCAGCCTTTGACGCTGAGTTGGTGGCCGTGGAGGGAGAAGAAGAAGAAGGTGCACAAGGCGCTGGAGTTGAGGATTCATCAGCAATGGCCGAAGTACAGCCTCCCGAAGTGCAGCCTTCCGAAGTGCATCCTGTCTCCTCCGACGAAGTGCAGGTGCTGCCTCCTGGTGAAGCAGAAGTGCCACCCCTCCCTGCTGGAGACGAGCCTTTCGCACT